ATATTCAATGGCCTTGTGAATTTCTCCTATTGATTCATAGGCACATCCTAAGTCTCCGTAAGCATTTCCTTCTCTCTGCCTGTCACCAATCTCTTTAGCAATTCTTAGACTCCGTTCATGGTATTCAATGGCCTTGTGATATTCCCCTAGCGATTGATAGGCACTTCCTAAGTTACCGTAACTGCTTCCTTCACTCTTCCTGTTACCAATCTCTGTAGCAATGCTTAGGCTCTTTTCATGATTTTCAATGGCCTTGTGATGTTCTSCTATTGAGTAATATGCACATCCCAAGTTTCCATAACAGCTTCCTTCTCCCAGTTTGTCACCAATCTCTTTAGTAATGYTTAGACTTCGTTCATGATATTCAAGGGCCTCGTGWTATTCCCCAAGAGRGACATAGGCATTTCCTAAGTTTCCGCAAGCATTTCGTTCTCCCTCTCTGTCACCAATCTCTTTAGCAATACTTACGCTCTTTTTAAAATATTCAATAGCCTTGTGATATTCCCCACGTGAGTAATAGGCATTTCCTAAGTTTTGTAAAGCATCTACTTCTTTTTCTCTATCACCTTGATTGATATTTCCCATTGAGACTTTCTTTTTCCAATTGTTAGACGACCTTCAATGAAAGTAGAACTTTCTTAAGAATACATGTATAACCGCGAAGTACCATAAATGATAATGGTGTTTAGGCGAACCAAGTTAGAGCTTTTTCTGAATAGATGAGGTGACGGTTTTGGCCGCCATCTTGGACCAGTAGGCATAGTGTTGCAAAATAACAAGGAATGACCAGCATGTATGCATTCTGTCTGCACACGCGCGCGAAAAACATCATTAGTGGTAATAACCGCTGGTATGAGCCCGTCATGGACGGCCGCATCGCTTACCCGCCAGCAGACTCGCGCCCTTTTGTAGATGAGCGTGAAGTAAACGAAAAATAATCATGGCGGTCTCAATTCGCAGTGTACTCTTTCTTGCTTCGCTTTGATTGTTTATAAATTCTAACTAGTTTGTTAGGTCAAAGAGTGGTTGTGCAGTTTGTGGAAAAAAAGTCAGCCAAGTACATGTTCGATCTTGTGTCGACGAATTTACACCTTTGCTTCCAAGGATTCATACGTAACAACAGTTCACTCAGGCACACAGGTGCACCATATTGATAGTGCTTTACAAAAGCACACGCAATTTATTCAATAATTTGACTATACCCACCTGATTTTACAGCTTTCTAGCTTTAAAATGATGATAACTACAAGTCCGGGCGATAGTAGAAATAGAGAGTTATTTTAATATATTGAAAGCAAGAACAATGCGAGTGACAAAGTTAGTTGTAATGAAATTCTCATTAAAGTTGAAAGAACGTTTTCACGAGGAAAAATACCTTGATTTTGCTTAAAATAAACACATTTAAAGATAAACACTCCATTTACCTTCTCCAAGAATTTTGTCGACCAAAGACTTGAAAATCATGAGGTACCCGTAAGGTCAAAAATGGTTAAAAACTCGACGAGGCGGCAGCCATTCACGAAGGTTGAACTACAACGTCGAACGATCCGTGCTATGCAATTTTTAGTATTTCAAAAATGACTTCATTTCTGAAATTACTAGAAGTAATATATTCACTCAGTGCTGTTTTTATTCACGGGCGAAAGTAAAATTTTTTGACGCTGAAGTTGGGCAAATAACAGCACAGCTGTTTAAATTTTCACATACAAAAGCAAGCATTAGCAAAGGGTGATAGGCACTGAAGTAAAGATTGATATTGTCAACATTGAAACTTCATTACATAAATACTCGCCTCAATATCTTGTRAGGYAGAAAATCTGAATTGAACAGCAGGCAAAATCAAAACGAAGACAACCATATGTTCAATGAATTTCGTTATTTTCAGATCATTTCAAGGAATATATCTACCGAAATATAAAGCCTAGGAATACATCAAGAATAGCCAGTGTAGTCACTCGTGTATACTCTCGGTTCTAATTGAAATTATTACAATTCAAAGTGTTAAACCTTGCGATCTAGTTTAGCAAAAACCCGAAAAAGAACATAATCCAAACAAAATGGCGCCCATTCTCGAAGATGCTTTTGTGACACACACATGCGCAGACAGAATGCCTACATGCTGGAATGACCGGGAAATAGATGTTAAATAATTCTCACTGAATTCAGATTCGGAAAGAATTATTAATTGCAAACGTTATATACTACAAAAAGGAGTTACCTGGCCAAACTTGAAGGATGTACTTGATCTAGAGAGCGAGTAAACTCATTTTTAGTTCCCCATACATTTCTTTGTAATTTCCGGGGTCAGCAGCGGGTGTCAGCGAGAAAAATAGAAACAAATGTATTGAGCACTACAAATAAATTTTCTCGCTCCCTATAGATGAAGTACATGCAAAATTTTCGCTTTGAGTTTGACATGCTTCACTACGTTTGACAAAGGAATGTGGTATTTTATCATATTGAGATTCCTCAGGTTTAGTTTTTGCTGCACTGATCAAAAGTAAACACCGAGAATGGAACCATTAATGTCATTCCTTGTACTACTCTTGTATGTCATGCACTGCTTTTTTATGTATATTATCCGTGCTGTTATGTATTGATATAAATGATACGCAACAACCTTGAACGGAATAATAAAACGACAGTTTCATCACAAAGTGAAACGAATATCTTCCCGTTTCCTGTTTCCTCTCAGACGACGTTTTCATTGTACATTTTTAGCTGGCTAAGAACTTCTCAAAGTAGTTACAGGATTAATTGAAATTCAATGATCATATTAAAGAAATATAAAGATATTACCTTCGACGAGTCTTCTGACATCAGTAATTACCTCTTTGTTGAAAGTGATTTCAGTCTCTTAGTTGAATTCGATAACAAGTAACTCTTCTCTTTTGTAAAATTAAATGTTTAATAATGATTTGAAAGCTTTGTGCGTTTTTTGACACGGAATTGAATCGATCTCATAAACCAAACATTWCAGTGTTGTTCTACTCATGCATGAGACCTATTATACGCGCGACCTCTCCAGACAAAATTCAGGATATGACGGCCGTCAATCAAAACTATTAATA